TATTGTGTGAAAAAAGTTTATTGACAATCACAAGAATGAAAAAAGTATTATAATACTCTGTTTTGTCCACTCAGCATTTCATGACGAATTATTTGTTGTGTTATATTCTGATTAAACTACAATGAGTTTATTATTTTAGAGTATTGAAACGATGAAAATACATTTGTATTTAATATTATTTATCTTGTGGTGTTATACAAGAGAATGTGCAGAACCATATTTTCATCTCAAATTGTATTTTTCCCGATAATGATCAAACAATAATTGCAATTGATGAAATAAATCAACGAGATTATCAAATAAATTATTTAAAACCTTCATTAAGAGAAAGCGCATTTGTGATGAAAAATTTTTCATATGCAATTCCTGATTCTTCTCAATCAAAATATGATGTTCAATAATTAATAAATACTCCAGCAAATAGTTTTATACATGGAACATACTCAAAATATGGTGGAAATAATTTTAATAGATTTCCATCACATTGATGGATTAATGAAAATTCATCTAAAGTGGATAATTATAGGAAATTTAAATGTAGAATGGTACATTCGAAGGATTCTTCTCTAGATGAAGATTATTAATATTCATATATAACATGTCTAGTTAATAGTGGAGACAGATATCCATGTGAAGAAATTTATTTTAAAAAGAATAAAAATTTCATTACGATTTGTTCAAGTAGTTCGTTGCGGGTGCAATCTTATACGAATAACTACAAATTATAATATGGTATCAATGGGAAAACTAGATGAGAAATATTTTGATTGAATATCAAAAACTTGGCTTCTGTTTTGCCGAAATATCAATATGGGATTTTTATATTATCCAGTATTAACAAATATAAGTTTACGTCAAAGTTCGGAAATTCACATTTCTCTTTCTGCTCCACCACATCGAATTAATGAAACTGATACTCTTACTATTCAATGGAAATCAACGCAATCCATTAATTGCGTAACCTGGATACCAACAGAACTCACTTTTAATACTAAGAATTTATAAGAACAACAGATCTTAACATTAACACATGTCCAAGATGGTTCACAAGTAACACTTATTCCGAATTTTTATGGTAGAGATTACTTTGGGCTATCACAAATCTGAAGATACCATTGGATAGAGGTCGTCGAGTTGTACTTAGGACGAACATTGGAAAGCTTGGAACAGGCTCCTGAGCGAATCGACACAAGAATTATCAGTGAAAAACTAGATTTTGGTCGATTTTAGGCATTTTTACGGGCTATAGTTTGGTCTATTGGAAATCTAATCATACCATTCGATAGAGCTGATCGATTTCTACTTGGAACTTGTTTGGAACGCTTGGAACATGCAGTCGTGGCCGGTTTCGTTCTTGCTTAAGGGACTAATCAGACGACATGTCCAAATTCATCATTATTCTAAGATAACAACGAAACTGCAAGGACGATACCGGTCACGACTGCTTGTTCTAATCCTTACCAGATACACATCAGCACATATCTCTCTGCTGAGGGTGCTCAGAAATCGTGATTCTGCATGGAAAGCATATCCCTTACTGAATGAACTTGACCGAATTTGGATAATAATCTTTGAGTTTTTCATTTTTCTTCAGAGTGTAATGCTCATTGCTTATCTTGAGAGTGAAAAACCTAGGGTGTGGGTGTGTTTCTTTTCGTTTCACACCCCACACCCACACCCACATCCACTCTAAGTTGACAACAAACAGGTCAAAGAAATCAAAGCATTTTAATAGAATTTTAATATTGTCGTCCTCACTTGTTTTTAATACATTTGCATCTCAACAAGAGTATTTTTTATCATTGTCTATCTCAGTACCTTTATCGAATTGAAAAGTTTGAATTCATAAAAGTACATCAAAAATCAATCCAACAATGTGTATTATATGTATATTAATAATGATTAGGATTTTTGAAATAAAACAAATATTTGAAAAAATTAGTTTGTCTAATACTTTCATCTTTTTATTTTAACAGTAGCATTTGAAAATTTCTCGTGATAGAAATACAGAGTTTTCAAATTTCTTCCCTGTTCTGAGAATGTTTATATAAAAAAGTAGAAAATAGTTATAATGGTGAGTAGCTTACCGTGAAACTTAAATTTGATAGAGAAATTCTAAAACTTCAATAGTTAAATTCTTTTCATTAAGAGCTTTATTATCGCTGTTATACTTAATTCAGTGACATTGATAGATGGATATAGTCACTGAACTTTGTATTTTTCAATTGATGCATATATATACACTCAGAAATATCTGTAGAATCGAATTCAAAATATATTTCATAGACTATCAATTTCTGCTTTTTCATATATTTTGATAAAGATTTCAAGGTCATCAAATGTTACTACAAGTTTCGTATAAAACTTTTCAACATGTCCAATGTCAGTAACAGACATCAAGTATTAATAAATCATCGTATTTTCTATGCAAACAACTATAATTATTAAAATATGTCATGAAATATCAATCAGTATTAGTGTAGAAAATCTTCAAGAACAAGCCGTAGATGCAAATAGCTGCTGTTTTCTGTTTTTTTGTAAACTTTTCTTCGTTGACACTCAAGAACAAGCTCCACATATTTGAATTAAAAGTATGACTGTGTAAATACAATTATTGAAAGAGAAAAAATCCAGCATCACCATTTTTTTTTGTATTATTATTCTTTTTACGTTTTGTTTGCTTTACATCTGTGCATTCACTGATATGTCTGTTCGTTCGATACCCTACTTCCTATGTTGTTTCATTGTCTTTGACTTTTTTTTGAGAGTGAATTTTCTCTTTCTAGTGATATGAGTATTAAGAATAATACCATTTGAAACAAAAAGCCTAAAATCTGCAGAATTTTCTCAAAAAAAAACAAAATTTTCTCATACAGGATGATTCACTTATTTTAACTAGTTTTCTTCGGTTTACTATATTTGTATAAATCCTCAGAAATTATATCTTTTTATATAGTTGAATAAAGCATTAATTCATCTATCGGGTTGTACAATTTTCATTTGATCTATTCCTTGTCTGGACCGAGCATTAAGTGATGTTCTAAAAATCTTCAAAAGGTGTATTTTCATGGTGATATTAAGGTATAAAAAAAATTGATTGTCGCGAGAGTGATCTCGGATTGAAGAGATCCATGAAGAACATGTTTGCATCAAGTATTGAGTGAAATCATCCTATATTGAAGAAGAATACTGCATCTTAATTATTAAATTATGAGTTATCAAGTAGTTTGTGTCACGGCAATGAAAAACAGAGGTGTGGGTGTGGATATCACTTTCAATGTTTTGACACCCACACCCACACCTTTCTTCGACCAAAAGTCTCAAGACTTCTACGAACGTGGGATCCTTTCTCTACCAGAGCGTTGGTGACAAGTCATAGATAGTAATGGAGCATACATTGTTGAAAGCTAGTTGTATTCTTGCAGTTAAAAAATAAAAAGAAATTTTTCAAAAAAAACGCAAAGACTTTGTTGCCAACTCAATATAATGGATACAAATCAGATATGAACAAATTCAGTTAACGTATTCATTTCACTAGCAATCATTATGATTCTCTCTTATCCTTTCTAATTAATCCTCAACAATTTATACCCAAACATGACATAATCAATATGAGTTTATAAAATGAAGGAAGGTTTCATAAACTCATCAAAATAATTGATTAAAATAAACAAGTTTTTATATATGCAAATAAATGAAGCCTTCGGAGCTAGCTCCTCGCCGCGTCCTACGGAACAAAAAGAGGACATCATTGGGGTCTTAGGAATAGTTCCTTAGTGCGCTCAAGGATAATGGTAAATCCGAGGTTTCCACGTTTGATTTTCTTCCTTGTTTTACATGTTTATACACTAATCGTTCTGGAGAGTGCACATTTCACTCATACTTCAACTTTTTTCTGAAGTAGAACAAGTGCCGCTTTTTCTCCCGATAAAGTATCCTTCTACATACATACTTGGTATGGTATATTCAAAAATGTACTATTTACCTTGGTCTTCACGAAACACGTGTTCATAGTTTGTTTATTCGTCTCATTCGTGCGTACGTATATTCAAAACATGTTGCTTATATTTGTTTTTTCTCGTTCTGCTTTTCACTCGTCAACATAAAAACATGATACACTATCATTTCTTTAGCATACCTATATTCTCTTCACTATCTTACTCTTCATACTTTTTCTTGTTCGACATTTATTCACAAAAGATACGAACAAAAATTGTGTTAATTTTATCTGATTGATTGTCACAAATTTATTTTGTGATAGTCGATATACGAAAGAAGTAAATGGAGTTCATCACCTGTTTGAGTTTTGTTTTATTATTGACTGTTGTATTATTAATGATTGTTTTAATTCGACGTAAATATGATTATTTTAAATCGGCTAACATTGTTGGACCATCACCAACATTTCTGTTTGGCAATTTATTGGAAATATGGAAGGCATCGCATTATTCTGGTCAATTAGAATCATGGACGCGCAAATATGGAAAAATCTATGGAATATTTGAAGGTACTCTTCCAATCTATGTAGTGTCTGATGTTGACTTTATTGAAGAAGTTTATATTAAACAATTTTCCAATTTTAATACTCGCAGACCATTCTTTTTTCTGTTAGCTGATCAAGAAAAACGGATGCATTTAGGTAACAGTAATGCAGTTAAATGGCGACGCCAAAGACATATTATCAATCCAATATTTAGTAAAGCAAAATTAGTGTCGATGATACCCCTAATTATTAAATCTATCGATGAATTTTTAGACATCATCGCCTTATATGCTGATAGGAATGTTGATGTCGATGTTCGTTCAATGTATACTCGATTAAGTATGGATGTATTGTGTAAGTAGGAGAGAACAAAAAAAATGCGTAAAAATCCATGACACTATTTTCAGGTCGATGTGCTTTCTCACTCGATATGAATGTTCAACGAAATTTTGATAATCCTTTCTTGAAAGCGTTGAACACATTTTTTGGTGTTGACAACAGAAAACTACTCTTTGTTAAAGCGGCTTCAATCCTTCCATCATTTGTCGGTATTATCATTTTTCGAGCAGTCATCAGATTTAATTCATTAATTCTCAAATGGAATGAAACATTTCCATTTTTTCAATTTAATGAATTACCTTATTTATGGTTATTGTCACGTATTAGTGGTCTTATTGTTCAAGCTCGACAAGATCTTCGTCAGAGTGTTCGTGTAGATCTTCTTCATCTTTTGCTCAATGCAGTTACTGATCAATCAATCATAGTAAGTAATCAGAAAACAAGTGATGATCTTCATTCAATTTTAATGATTGTTAGGATAATAATCGTTATAAAGATGATAAGAATCTTGTCAATTCATCTGAAACACAATCTATGATAATTAATAAACTGACATATGATGAAGTTTCGGGTAATATTCTTCTATTTTTTCTAGCTGGTACAGAAACTACATCAACTGGAATGTCATATTGTACCTATGTTTTGGCAAATCATCAAGATATTCAAGAAAAATTACAAGAAGAAATAAATTTATATTCTGATGATACTGATCAATCATCAATCTATGATACAGTGGAAAAATTGATCTATTTGGATATGTTTATTAAAGAAGTCATTCGAATGTATCCAATTGCAGCATTTGCTATGAATCGTCTCTGTGTTGAAGATACTTTTGTTGGAAAACATAGAATTAAAAAGGGTGAGATCTTTTGATCAATTCAAAATAAATATGTTCAACATTCATTATTAATAATTTCGATAAAATATATATGACGAAATTCTCATAAATAAAGTCAAAAGTTTGAAGTCTATTAGAAAAGGAATGATTATAAAGTTTCTATGTTTAATATTTTTCTTAAAAATTCGTCATGTTAATTTCATTTCATTTTGTAGGAACTATCATACAACCTGACATCTATAGTGTTCATTATGATATGGATATATGGGGACCTGTTGATCCTTATCAATTTTATCCTGAACGACATTCGACTAAACGACATCCAGCTGCTTATTTATCTTTTGGTATTGGTCCACGGAATTGTATTGGAATGCGTTTTGCTTACTTGGAATTAAAAATCTTTCTTGTGCGTCTTCTTAAAACATTCACTATATTCAAAGGTAATACGATGGACGAGACTTTTAGAATTGTTGAACTTACAGTTATTGGACCCGAAACAGTGCCAATTAAACTCAAACGTCGTATACCAACTATATAAACAATTAATACAAATATATTTTCTCTGAATATTAAATAGAATAATCAAAATTATATTTTTTAATAATAAGATTCATTGAAAAATAAACTCACCGATTTAATTGATAAAAAACAAATTCAATTTTCGATTTTCAATAATTGATTAAGCCAAAATAAAGAGCAATACAATTAGAAATTAATCCACTTTCTCTAGAAGATTAAAATACAGAGTTCAGTTTAATGTCATATTTCATATGATTGTCCCTACTTTGGTCAAAAGTAAAAATAATTCAAACGTTGAACAGTTTAAATGCTGAAATTGATAGTCTTTAACAACAAAAATCTCTCCCACCCTCACTCTTAGTTTTATCAATTTAACTTTTTTAATCGGAGATAAATCAATACATAATGATATTGTTTGATATTATTAACTATTTATACAAAAACAATGGAATGTTCTACTAAACAATTTGATTTTGCTGATTAATTCTTTTTTTTTTTGGTAATTACATACATCCATTTAGTCCATCCCATTCGTGTATGTTCACTTTGATTGTGTTCAATAATGTGGAACACATATTGGTTACATTATAGAGGTTGTTATTGCTAGTGAGACCAATAAGAAGCATTCAGTAAGCAGAATGAGGAAGTGCTCACATTCGAGAGACTTATTTTCAGCAAAATTCGCTCGGGTGACCACAGACTGCTTAGTATAAGGAGGTGCTCACTACAGCTATCAACAGATACAGTGGCAGAAATCATCGATCTGAATGAGTAAACAATGTATAGACAACTGTATATAGTTTACTGATACAGAAAGATCATACGGTATGTTTTGATGATCAGATGTTCAGGTCGAAAAGGCAGATGTCAAATCCAACAAGATCTTATCAAATCTTAAGCGTACAAGATTTTTCGTATGATCTTAATATAAAATTGCACAATCACGTATATCTTACGGAACTTCAAGATTTCATTAGATTCTGATTGAACTTATCAGATCAAATAAAATTCAAATACAAAGAAACATACAATATAAGATGAGACAGCCCTAGTGAAGGTATTCATAGGGTGGGTGACTGGGTGGGTGTGAGTGTGGACTGGGTGTGGGTGGATGTGGTGTGTGGGTGTGGATGTATCTATCGTTTTCATACGCAGTGTACCCATACACCCACACCCACCCTGTGATGCTGAAGGCAGTCGGTGTGAGTGTGGGGAGGGGGG